CCTTTGAGACAGGCTACAGTGTGAAATTTTGAAACTTGAGGCGAAGCTTGACACTGTGATTATGTTCTAATGTTTTGCCACCGCGGTCACATGTAGTGTGCACGAAAGGTCACGACTCACGAACTGCCGGCCTCGACCTCGTCTGGCCAGTCTGAACGTCGCCGGCACATCACTGGAGATCGTTAGCATCCACCCGCCGTGCCCATCGCACATCTCAAACCGAGCAGTCGGTGCGCACTCGAGGCCTGTATGGATATCTCGGCTGACGAAAGGTTCACATGCAACACACTGTAAAAGCCGTAAAAAGCCGTATTTAACATAGTTTCTAAGGCCCCAAATAGAAGATTTCGTTCCGCTTACAAGAGGGACGAAACGCTTTAAAGTTTGAGATGGAGATTGGGACATTTATTTTTATTATTGTCTGTCGGCTCCCGCGGTGGTTATCTCTAGTCACGAGGACCTACATATGGACTCGCGCGAGTCGCGAGGCTCCTACAAACGATAGGTGGCGGCTCACTACTGGGCACATATCGTACGGGATGAGCTGTCGGTGATGAGGACTCGGACGTCGATGAGGGCACAAACGGAGAGAAGCGCCTCATTCATAAGCGCCCGAACAGCTCAGCGGTTTATTTGAGCGTTTCAAGGACTCACTGCTGTCTCCATGGCTCTCGCTACCCTTAGCCTCCGGGCACACGCTCTCGGTCTTCCTGTACTCTCTAGAGCGAGCACACACGCTCTGCGAGCCCTGTCCACAACAGTTGCGCCTGCACAGGAGGCCGTGTCGTCGTCGCAAGCCGAGCCGTTCACGCACTACCGCATTACCCTCAGGCGGTCCGCCATTTCACTCCCGAAGAGGATCAAGGGCACACTTGTCTCGCTCGGCATCCACAGGAGACACCAGACGGTGTATCACGAACACTCACCTATCAACGCTGGAAAGATCCTGCGCGTGAAAGAGCTGGTCGAGGTGGAGAACGTCCCGGCGTCTGCGGTTAGGACGAAGACGGAGCAGAGGCAGGAGAGGAAGGCACCGAGGGGCTATATGGTCGTCGGGTCGAGACTGCAGGAGATTGTGTAAGCTATCTTACGATTGTGAGTGCTATGTCACAGCGGCAAAGTCGATACTTATTTACGTTTAGTCTTTGAGTCCCCACAGACAGTGCTTCACGTTGTTTCTTCGTCGCACTCTAGAGCAAGTCCAACATGGAGCACTACAGTTTGCATTATCATCCGCCGCTGTCACATTGAACATGTCTCGCATGAGCAGCAGCCGGTGGAGGATTTCGGTCGGCGGCACGCGAGAGACGAAAGGTAAATACGTTATCCATGTAGACCGCCTCTCTGGTGTGTTGCTCTGTCGTTTTGTACGACTTTTCTCAGGAATTCTTGGTGTTCTCCGGACGGCTCAGGTGTGTATCAGGCTATAGACCCACTCGGAAGCCAGCAGGTAAATGCTCGGGTGATGTCTTACACTTCACTCTCTCCTCATGTTCTGCTTCTCTCGAACTATCTCCACACTTGGTCATATGACACAGCTTTCCTTTCTGTCATTTTGATTTCAAGGCGAGGCATTTCAGCCTTGTCCGGCACGCTGCACTCAAAATCCTCATCTAGCGCCTGCAGCTTTGTGGCGTTCGGGCGTTTGTCGCATGCGCGCACTAAGTCGGATTTCTCAGCCTAGCCGCGGTGAGCGTGTTATGGATCATTTGAAGCATGCACATATGTCGATCACAACAGGGAGATATGTGTCATCTCCTCTTGACGTTTTGAACGTTTAATCGGCACGCACGCGTGCGGTGTAGATTTCTTTCGACATCCCCTTCGGCCTGAGAATCCTAAAATATTTCTACTAGTCACAGGCACGAAGTTCCCTTGTCAGCCGTTGGGAAGAGTCAGCCGTCAGTAAAAAGGAAAGAAAGAAAGAAAGAAAAAGATTGAGCGTTTGGCACAAACAAGTCAAGTTCAATGTCGTCAAATAGCTAATGTTCGACACATCAAGACAATTATGGGCTGCATATGTCGTCATGTAAAACTACACTTCTCAGTACGGTGCCATAAACGGCCTCCGGTATAATTGGAGAACATGATTTCACTCGTCAGAAATGTTATACAGTATTCATTTTGTAACGTATTACACTGTGCTATCCTTGACCTTCCTTACACAATTACAGACGATCTAGATGGTAACGTTTGACACTGTCCAGGGCTCGGAGAAACACATTTTACTTACTGATGTTACCGAGATCGGTGCAGGCTTCCTTGACACGGACAACGAGGGTCTTCTCACCCTCACGGACCCAGATACGGGGGTCGTAGTATTTCTTGTTGGGCTTGTCCGCCCCCTCAGGGTTACCGACCTGGGTCTTGAGGTAGCCAATCTTCGAGGTAACAAAGTCCTACAAAGTACATTGGTAAGGAGCCTGCACTGCACATCTGCAAGGTACGTACCCGAATACCGGCGAGATAAGCGAACTGAGTGTCAGTGTCGACGTTCATCTTGACGACACCGTTCTCAACGCCGGTCTTGATCTCCTCCTTGGTCGAGCCGGAACCGCCGTGGAAAACCAAGAAGCTGGTTGAGAAGTTCAGAGCACGCATATAACAAGGATTCACAGAACAACTTACAGAGGCTTCTTGCTGCCGCCGAGCTTCCCCTCAGCGTAGACTTGATGCTTCTGAAGGAGCTCGGGGTGAAGCTTGACGTTACCAGGTTTGTAGACACCGTGAACGTTACCAAACGCAGCCGCGATGGAGAAATTAGGGGAGATCTTAGAGAGAGCCAAGTTGACGTCCCAGATATCCTCAGGCTGGGTATACAGCTTGGCGTTGTCGACTTCAGTGTTGTCCACGCCGTCTTCCTCGCCGCCGGTGATACCAATCTCCATCTCAAGCCAAAGGCCGAGCTTGGCCATGCGTTCGAAGTACTGCACACAAATAGCGATGTTCTCCTCCTTTGACTCCTCGGAGAGGTCGAGCATGTGTGACGAGAAGAGAGGTTCGCCATGGTGGGCGAAGTACTCTTCGTCCGCCTTAAGCATGCCGTCGAACCATGGCAAAAGCTTTTTCGCGCAGTGATCGGAGTGCAAAACCACGGGGCTTAGAGATGACGACACATGTACGTTCAAACCGTGATCACGGGAGAACAAGTGGTAAGGTGTACTTACACACCGTACTCCTTCGCGACAGTGCGGACATGGTGAGCGGCAGCGATGGCACCGAGGATGGAGGCCTGTTGCTTGTCGTTCGCAAGACCCTTACCAGCAAAGTACGCGCTGCCACCTTGGGAGACCTGAATGATGATCGGGGCTTTGATATCCCTGTTTTAGGGTGAGATCACTGGAGAGGAAACTGAAGAATGGCACAACGAACCGGGCAGCCTCAAGGACAGCGTTGGCGGTGGAGGAGGAGGTCACGTTCTGTTGGTGAAAGCTTGAGGGGGCGCATAGGGCGGCAAGGAGAGGGGGACTTACGATGGCCTAAAGAGGAGTTTTCCAAGGGAATGAATAGTTGCGATTGCCTCGATAACGCGATAGACTACGCACAGGAATAGCAAACTAGATAATAAAATAATCAGTAGGATATCTCGTTGCGTGAGGGGAAGTCATTGTACCTGGTTCTCCTTCGCGTATTCAAAGAGCTTGCGCACATTGTCGCCAGTAAGAACACCGGCCTACGCTGGGGATAAGCCCTGTGTATGCTTTCCTGCAAAGTCCTCTCAACATACTGGGACAATTTCAAGGACACCCATTGTAAATAGTCGGCAGAGCTGAGTGGCAGAGGATGAGAGGAGAGGAGAAATCGGTGAGATTCGACTCGGTCGCAGCGTCCCGGGCACCCTTAATACGGCGTCATCCACGTGACCGGCTCCTCTGCTGCCGCTCAAAAGTTCTTCCCCGCATCTCGGCCGTACAACGTCCACCACTGCACCGAGTAAAATGCCGCAGCCACACCATGATGTCCTTGCCGAATATTGCCCATCGCCTATCGAACCACTCAGGACATTCTGCTCGCCGCATAAATTTATGTCTAGTCTCCAGGATCCTCGATGCTCGTACGGGTACCACGCTATGTTACACTTGTAGTCCATTTGATTCTTTGTTAGTTCCTAGATATTCTAGAGACTAATGCGGAGTCCCACGGAGAGCCAACCTAGACAACGCCATCGCTCCGGATCGCGCACTGACCAAAGTCCCGCTTTTGCAGGCCTTCTTCCTTCGGCAGGATGTCCTATCAAGCAAACGATAGTCAAAAACTCAGGCCAAAAAGTGTAGTCGAGTGAGACGCACGAATTCAAAAATCCCCAGAGGCAGACCCATCGTTACACATGCGTTCGGCGAGTCCTTGAACCGGACATTTAGCTTCATGAACAAGCGATACTCGCGGAAAAACACGTACCACAATCGCACCAATGTGACTCTCAACTGGAGCTGCCGAAAGCAGAAGGTAGGCCTGCTCACGCGCTAGGTCGCGCGTCAGTGACTAGCTTTCAGCGGCAACCAGAATGCATACTGTATCCGAGCTAGCGCAGATCCGTAGTTAGTTTCTCTGCGTGGCGTATACAGCCTACAGCAGCGCGTACCTTCATGAGATAGGTGATAGCATTTAAAGCGGCTTGCTTGTAGGCGACGGTGCTGTGACAATGGAGACTTAGTACCTATAAATAGGCTTACACTGGCGAGGCACACTGACGCGTCCATGTTGTATTGCTTGCCATCGCCATCTGTAGTTTCTGGTTAGCACGTGAATGATGAAAGTATATGACAAGAGCTCACGATAGTCAACGCTGATACCCTCAAAGACGAGCTGCAAAAAGCAGTAATGTAAGCTCACAGCTTGCACCCGCGGCCTCCTTTACCCACTTTGGCTGAGTACATCGGATCGATGGGAGAAGGCTGTTCGGACCCGGCATGAACATTTATGACCGATATCCTGCAAAATGTAACGAACCAAGAAGATAGGTTGCTTGAGCGCGAACTTTTCGGTGCCACCCTTGATAATGCTGCAGTTGAAGGTAATAATACCGGCCTGTAGACAAATGGTTAGGGACAAATCGTCAACGCAGCGGAGGTCGTGCAAACCATTTCAATGGCGCCACAGAACGACATTTCACCGTCACCCTGAGAAAAGTGCAGATCACCAACGGACAGGTTCGCGCCTTTCACGAAAACAGGAAAGTAGCAGCGCGAGCCCCTGGACAGGTTCTTGATCTGCAGATATTGTCAGAGATATGGATCCTTAAGAATGACGTCGAACGAACATCACAATTTCCACCATGCTCACGCCCAGGGACTGTCCGCGCACCTTCCCTGTAGATCTTCTCAAGAACATCCTTCGGCAGGTCCTGACCAACATAGGCGCCTTTGGGCTCAGGCGGGAATGCAACGGCAGGCACCTCGTCCTTGTGAGCCGCGATAAGCTCACCCTCGCGCTTGTTCCACGTCGCTAACAGCTCGGGGGAGGGCGCCGTACCGATGAGGCCTGGGTGCGAGATGCCCGCGAAGCGCACGCCGGGGACGTGACGAGACGTCGCGTAGATGCCGTTAAAGTCCCAGATCGCCTTGCACGCTTTGCTATCGAACTCACGCGCTGCAAAAGGGGATCAGACAAGCGCGAAGATAGAAGGAGGGGGACATACCGAACAGGCCACCGCCATTATTCAGCTCGAAGATGCCAGTGTAGCCCCAAGGCATCTGATCGAAGGGCCGGACTGCGTAGCATAGATGTCAGCAACGACTAATCTCGTGGAAGCACATCCTTACCATCGAGAATGTCCACAACTAGACAATCGCCCGGCTCGGCGCCTTCAACCGCGATAGGTCCGCTGAGGTTGTGTATGGCGGTCAGGTCGACATTCTTGATATCATCGGAACCTGCAGATCGTTAATTGTCCTGAATCATAATTTCAGAACGTCATGCTCACTATCGTTGTTGCCGATCTGAGCACCGGTCCAGTCTAGGCACATGTTAGATGAATTTTATGAAACGGTACGTGAGACTTACCGATGCATTCGATGTTGAACGTCTGGCCGGGCTTAACTGAAACGACAGGCGGGATGTCGCAGCTGTCATGAAGGGTTAGGGAGTATTATTACGGTGGAGGTGAACACTTACTGCCAACGATTATGAAGACCCTTCTGCTGATCTGCACGACTTAACCGCGGAAATGAGAGCATATCGCGCGTCATGACATCATAACTCACGTGAAGGGATCAATCTACTCAATCAAAGATTAGCTATAACCACAAACGGCTTCCAGGACACACACCTTTATAAGAGTGGGGTGAGGGATTGAGTTAGCTTTTGTAGCCATGTCTCTGAATAAAGCAGTGGGTAAGAGCAGGAGGGAAGAATATACCGTCCTGGGAGAAGACAAGCAAGAAGCAGACGCGGTATATATAGAGGAAAGAGCTTAGGAGGCTCAGATGATAAGGTCGATCGTGATGTGTACGGAACGCACCACGGAAATCGATAAGCTGGGAGTTCCTGAGGTGTCGCATGCCTCATGATCGAGTCCTTGAGACTCTAGCTTGATTTTGCACTGATTGTGCCAGAATCAAGTGTATCAGGCCCACGGGGTCTTGTCTGAACAGTGGCGAGTAAAATCGGTAATGAGGGGGAATTGGTCGGGCATACATCGAAGGGAAGTTGCGGGAACAACCTAGATCTGAAGCTTATCAGAGGACGCAGGTAACAGGCACCTAAGTGCACTTGATATGAGAAGATAGCGCAACCGTCTTACGGCGCGGTCACGTGACAATAACGCCTTTCCACCGGCGCATTAATTCATGCCACTTGGCGGTAGGACTCCTGTATGGAACCATGGAGTATTTATATGACTCAATATTAAGCAGTGTCGAGAAGGTGACGATAGCTTCGATTCACTAAGACGTATGCATTAGCCAACTTCACGGCGTGCTCGGGCTGTTTTAGAGCGATGAAGTAATAATAATCCCTGGTAGCTTTCGGCAAGGACTAGTCCATACCGAGAAGTCAGCGCACTCACCGTCGATTCCTCGTCCAGCAAAACAGTAGAGCCAGAGTTCGTGTACCATAACGTCTCCCAAATCTGCGCAAGATCAGAAGTCGGTATCGGAAGAAGGCAATTGAAAAGCTGCACGAGCCTGCTGCGGGCACTACTGCCACGGTGATGAGACTACGGCTTGACAATAATTACAGGCTCATATCAGTCGTTACAGATACGATATGGCAATGTTATTATTGGTAAGATGAGTGAGATGATCCAACCAGAGAAATTCAACAGCGACGGCAAATGCCCCTGCGCATCTCCTCTTCCCTGCTCACGAGATCAGCGCAGGCGTCAGTAATGGGCTCCCCGACGCACCTATACTCGAACATGAACTGCACTGTAACGAAGATGCACATACATGTGAACAGGAGGAACTGGACACCTACGTGTCAGAACAAGGACGATTAGCACAACCAAAACAGCGACATAAACACCGAAGTGCGCACCTTCCCAGCCGGAGACCAGGCGGCCGAGGAGATATGATACACCTTCTGTCCCCATGACAAAGCCGATGAGGTTCGCAGTCATCATCATGAGAATGTTGAAGACTCCGCCGATCGCACAAAGGTGGCGATACCACCATCTGTCGCCACACTACAGAAGGTCACTCTCAGTACCAAGAGGGAATTATTGATTGAAGCACAAACCTCTTTTTCTGTGAGAAAATAGCGAGCGGCAATTTCAGGCAGGATGAAAAGACTAACAAGCCACCCCCAAGCAAGAAGGCGGAAGGACAGATCGTGCCAGAGGGCTACAAATGAGAAAACGAGGACTGTCGTAAACTTCAGGTTCTTCGTTCCACCTAACGGTATATAAATATATCTGAAGGCAAATCTAAATCACATCCTACCGTTCACGTAGATGGAGGTAGTACCGACCTGACGATCCAGAGGTTGTAACTGCGATGCCAACTTCTCCAAAAGCCCAGGACCGAATAGTTATTAGCCATACAGCGGACCATGTTTTCCGGAGGATCGATCCCATCAAGTATGGCCCAAAGCCGGAAAAATCGCCACGGGATCAGCAGCTAAAGACATGATTAGTTCTAAGCGGTGGTTACTGTGGCCCGCGAAGTGAGGTAC